AAGTTTGACGATGGTAGTGACATCACCAAATCTCTGGGAATAATCTTGGATTCGGTCAAGGACAAGCTGTTATTTTCATTTGTGCCACAACGAGAACTCGGTAAAAACTCAAAACGCTCTGCGTTGTTTACTCTAGCTCGCTGTTACGATCCCCTTGGACTAATTGGCCCTACGCTGACCAAGGCGAAGATTCTGCTGCAACGGATGTGGAGAGATAAGCTTGAGTGCGATGTCAGTCTACCGCAATTGTTAAACACCGCCTGGTCTGCCTTTTGCAACGGGTTTGCAGACACACAGCATCTATCATTTCCTCGTTACGTCTTGCAGCCTGGGGCCATTACAGAAATTCATGCATTTTGCGATGCAAGGCTTGAAGCTTTTGAGGCTTGGGTTTATACACGCTCAGCCAAGGATAGCAACGTACAAGTGTACCTGTTGTGTTCGAAGGCTCGTGTCGCTCCACTGAAGACTATTACCGTGCCCAAGCTGGAACGCTGTGCAGCAACAATGATTGCACAACTCATGGGTGAGTTTATAAAAATGAGGCTTGTTAACTGTTCATTTCGTTGCTCGTCAGATTCCTCCACTGTCGTCTCGTGGCTTCGAGAAGAACCAGCAAAGTTTAACGTATTTGTCGCTAACCGAATTTCCACCATACATCAATTAACGGAGGGCATGCGGTGGCACTATGTTCCGACAGCAATGAGTCAGGCTGACATTTTATCACAAGGAGCTACCCCCAGGAACTTCTAGAATCTACACTTTGGATGCACGGCCGATCATTTTTTGCGATAATTGGAGGGCAGCTGCCCGAGAATGTGTGTGCCACAAACCAAAACTCCCAGAATTTCGACAAAAGGTGTTGCTTGCCGCACATGACCACAATGACATTTCGCTTTCTTTCAAGTGCATTAATTCATTTGGAAGCAGATTTTTGGGCACGTCAGCAAATTTGTCAAGATTCAAAAATCGCCAAGATCTTCGCAACTGACAGCCGCAGATATTCACCATGGAACTCAACTGCTTATTCGCTTAGTACAAAGAGCGCAACTTTGGCTGGAGTACACTGCATTGCAGGCCAATAGTTGCGTCCCGAGTTCGAGCAGCATTGTTTCTCTATCACCATTTCTTGATTACATAAGCGTTTTCATATGCTTCGCCACAAAGGCTGTATGGATGGAGTTGGTAAGAGACCTCTCAACAGGTGCTTTCATTGACGCGCTAAAACGATTCATCGCTACTAGTGGCATACGTAGCTGCATCTGGTCGGACAATGCGACGAATTTTGTAGGCGCCAAGAACGAGGTTAAAGAACTACGGAACTTAGCCTTCAGCGAGGAAAATCGCAGCGAAGTCCACAAATTTCGCCTCAGTAATGGCTTTGATTGGCGTTTCGTCCCACCCCGCTCTCCACACTTTGGCGGTTTGTGGGAAGCGGCCATTAAAACAGCCAAACAACATTTCTATCGTTCCGTTGGCTCACCACTGCTTGGCTTCGATGAATTGGTATGTCAAATCTGTGCTGTAATTAACTCTCGTGCTCTCGTACCCCTTTCAGAAAATCCAGAGGATTTACATGTGCTAACGCCAGGCCATTTTTGATTGGTGGTTCTCTAACAGCTCTTCCGTAACCGGATCTAACGACGTTAAACTACGACCGACTGGATCGATGGCAGCGTGAAACATACATAAACAGGTTTTTTGTAAGCGGTGGACTCAAGAGTATCTAACTCTTCTCCACCAACGCACAAAGTGGGGTTTACCTCATGCCAACATTCAAGTCAATTATGTCGTGTGCATAAAGGAAGAAGACACCACTGAAGTGGCCTCTATCACGGGTAATCGAAGTTGTCCCTGGAGCAGACTTTGTCGTACGAGTAAAAACATCTAGCGGCATATCGCACCGAGCCGTGAACAAGCTGTGCGACGTTCCGTTGAAGGATTCGGTTCAAAGCCCTGACCTTTCAACGGGGGAGAAGATGTTCGGAGCAGCAGCGGATAAGCCAGGAATATAAAAATATGTTTATCAAAATCAATAAGAAAAATGTTATCTCATCACACTAAAATTATCATACTCAATTGAACTGCCTATTTACCTATATGAATATTAAACTTTGCTAATTTTATTTCCCTTTATACTATGTATTAGGCATATCTATATACATACATACGTAGGGGAAGTTCTCCTGACTGCAAATATATAGTTTTTAGCTGCCGGAGTCTAATAGTGTTTAAGTTATTTGTTGTTAAAATTTGTAAATTGAACTAAATTTCAAGCGCTATTTCACACAATAAACACTATATTTACGTGCACACTGCGGCAAGATATGTGCAATAAGACCCCGCACAATCAAATATATTAATATTTTTTACGTTTATTATGTTTTTTTTTTAGTTAAATAACTATGCTTTTAAAATTATCGCGCACTTACTGTACGTAACACACAAATTCTGAATACAGAACTATTGTTTTACACTGACATTAAAAGAGTGTTGTCACATCTAAGAAAATAACAATAAAAAAGAATAGATTTTATCTTACCCGTTTTCCTGGTCAGCGTCAAATTAGTAGTAAAGGAGGTTATGGGGATAAACACCCCCAATACATAAAAAAATATGAGCGCCGCAGGCGAAAATTTGTAATGAAAAACCGCGCGATTTTTTATTAAAAACTTTATTATTTATCGAAGTATCGATTTCACCGAAGTATCGATTGTTATAAATCGCGCGATCTTTTATCAGAAATTTTAATTATTTATCGAAAAAATCGCACGATTTTTTATTACAAATTTTCATTACTTATCGAAGTATCAATTTTTATAAAAAAGCGTCGCAGGCGAAAATTTGTAATAAAAAATCGCGCTATTTTTTATTACAAATTTGCAATATTTATCGAAGTATCGATTTTTATAAAAAAATCGCCGCAGTCGAAAATTTGTAATAAAAAATAGCGCGATTTTTTATTACAAATTTTTGATATATGTACATCGATGTAAATATTAAAATTTTACTCATAACTCCTTTTCGCCTTGGCCGCACTTGAATAAAAACCCTTAATCGTGGTGTATTTACTTTTAAAACGGGTATACATCAAGATAACCAACCGTTCAGCTATAGAAAAACTAAAAATGCAGATTGCTAGTACTTTTTACGCTGATTTTAACTATATAAATATTATTTGCCGCAATTGAAAAGTAAAGTAGATATAAAAGGTAAAACAAAAAAATGGTGATATTTCAAAATATTATTATTTTCTAAACTGCGTAACCGATTCAAAAGGTAATGATGTCAAAATAAAGACAATTAATTTATCTTCAAGCTGATATTTAAAATGTATATGCTTTATTATATATATCAGCCGAAAATATTATAAAACAAAAAAATGTCATAGTTTTTTCATAAAATAACCTTATTTTAGAAAAAGTCTATTATGAATGCTAAAAAAATTTATATTAGAAAGTGAAAGTTTTTACCTTTAATTTGATATAAATATTATATTATGATTTGTTTTTGAGTTTTCAGAATTCAGTGATAATAAAAAATATAAATGCATGTATGTGCAAATGCATATTGTAGTTAATTAAACGGGTTGGCTTTCCATTATGGCCGTTCGTTAAAGGGGCGGTGGCACCTCTAACCCACCTTTTATTTTATTTATTTATTTATTTATTCAATTTTCACAATTTTCATTTGCGTTTTTTCGCATGAAAAATGTTAAATATTCATTTGCACAAGACATTTTTATATACACATTTTTATATACAAGACATTTATATAAAACACCCAGTAACCATAATAGACATCACTGGGGCGGCAGTCCCAGGTTTACCCATATATGTAATACTTCTATATTGGCAGTAAGCTAACTTCTCAATGTGTAAGCATTCCGAAATCAAAGCGAGACAGTCTAGTACCGTTTTTGTCAATGTATTGTGTACCCCTGCAGTTCACTGGAGCTAGTTCTGTACTAGCGATAACACTGGCCCCCAAGAACCACCACTAGTTCCGCGCCAATCTCCTTTACATGTATTCAACTGGCGAATTTAACGTGGACATGTCCTACGAAGGGGTCAGTTGTCTCCCCTTTGCATTACTCCGCACTAGCTATTTCGCTTACTCCAAAATACCATATATTTCGCATGCATCAGAAGATAAACTATTTCCTTAAACAATTTCGCTAAATACGAAAGGTTATCTAATTTCATAGCCACAGAAAGCAAAGAGTTCGCCAGTCCATAGGAGTAAAGAATTTCACTACTGGGGCAAATTATTATAACCAGTTTTCTGTTTTTTTTAAATCAAGTTAAATTATTTTTATTTAGTCTTAAAAAAAATTAAATACATTTCACATGTTAAGTGGCATTTTTTTGTTTTTGGTTTTGATTACATTTTTAATATATATGAACTAGTTTTATATACAGTACCGGACTAAAGTTTTCGCACAGAGAATTTTTCGCAATATATGCAAAGTTTTTCATTCTAATTTATTTTCGACAATTTTTTATAAAAATATAGTTCGTACTTCACCAGAAAACATAAAAACCAAATCTGTAAACTTTGTGCAAAACTTAGGAAAATTAAATAAATTTGCATACTAAGTTGCTACTTTCTATGTAGTATGCAGCTTTATAGCCCATCTAATTTTAGTATAACAAAGTGCAAGTTTGAAGTTCCTAAAAAATTGTGTTGTTTTTTGACATTTTTTTTTATTGGAAGGTGTTCTCCATACAAAAAATAATTGTCGAATATACTTTGTATGGAAGAACCTGAGTGAAAAAAAGCCAAAAATCTACGCGATTTTTTAGCAACTTCAAACTTGCACTTTGTTATACTAAAATTAGATGGGCTATAAAGCTGCATACTTAGAATTTTTCTAAAAAATCTGAATAGGAAGTTGCAAATTAGTATGCAAATTTATTTAATTTTCCGGAGTTTTGCACAAAGTTTAGAGATTTGGCTTTTATGTTCTTTGGTGAAGTACAAACTATATTTTTATAAAAAATTTTCGAAAATAAATTAGAATGAAAAACTTTACATATATTACGAAAAATTCTCTATGCCAAAAGTTTTGTCCGGCACTGTGTATCGGAAAAAATAAGTAAAATAAATTAATAAAAATAAAATAAATTTATAAATTCACTTTTGTAAGCGTTATGCTTTTACATATACATATGTTAATTATTCGGTGCGAGTGTTTGCAAGCTTTTTAAAATGCCGCTTTTTCTGCAATTGGATTGCTTTTCTAAGCTGTGTTTCTGCTGATCCGCTGCAATTTTCATTAATAGGAATGGAATCTGAAGAAGACAAAATGAGGTTTATTAGCTCGTATTTTCAAACTAACATACATATGTTTACGGTTTAAAAATTTTTTTTTTCCTTACCCAATAGTGCAGAATAAAAATTTGCCATGGTTTTTAAAGATTTCTTGCCATGAACGCCTTCTATATTGTAATTTCTAGTGATTTCTTCAGATATTATATTTTTCAAAGTTTTCAGTACGCCTTCACTTATCTCTGAACTGTTAGCACTTTCTTTCCCTACGGTCAGCAATTTTTCTAAGTACTTTTCCTTTCAGCTTTTATCAATCTTCTCAAATAACTTTTGCTACTCATTTTAACTTATTCTAGTAAAATTATTACAACTTTAGTTTATTTTAGTTATATTTACTCATTGACCCACTTTAATTATTTTTGCACGCAACAATTGAACCGACGCTTGCAACCACGACAAATCAACTGACTCAGTTGAACTGAGAAATTCAGAAAAAATGAGTACACAAAAAATTAGAAATAACGGGATAATCTCGTTTTCCATGGCACACTTTCTACCAACAGACAAAAAACACAAGCAAGTGGCGCCAGATACAAACAAAAAGCAGCAGTAGCATACCGAAAATAATTTAACTATCGCTTTTATGCATTACTTATGACCTTGAGAAGTACGTAGAGATATTGCGTTAGTTAAATAACTAGTCTTTGAGTAGAAATCGCCACCAGAAAAACTGCAGGGACTTGAGTGCCGTGTTATGTTTTTTTTTGTATATTATTATTTTTAAGTATTTTTAACTTTTGGCTTTTAAGCGAGCCACGCTAAAAGGATGATGGCCTCAAGGCCTATTTTTATTGATGAGACAAGTTAGAAAAAACGAGGCAATGCCGCCGATTCTTGATTCAAAACAAGTCTGTTTATTTCAGTGCACAGACACTGCTTTTATAATAAATTTTACATTTCTCCTTAAATCTAAGACACTCCCAATTTTAAGTTACTTTTCCAAAATTTTCATATTGTGACCAATCATAATTTATTATTTTGTAGTTTTGCATTTTCTAAATGTTCTTGTAGTAAAGTCTCACTGCTTTTCTTTTACTCTAATTAAATTCATATTGACTTCTCATATATTGAGAAATATCAATTGTGAAACCAATTGTTGCTCTACAAAGTTCATCGTCTTGAGAAAATACAACACTACAAATGTCTTCACAAAAGTGACCCACATGTGCAAGCTGCAATATGATCGTTTCTACAAAGCAAGTGGCCGCTAACGCTTTGCCCAATTTGTGACATATATATGAGTCATAACTCTTTTTGCTTGCATTCTTAACGTTGTTGTTAAGAACGTTATTATATAATATTGCAGTCACATGCGTGTTTACATTACTGACCTAACTAACTAATTATTTGTAGACACACAACACCCTTACCCTATAAAAAAAATGATTTTGTAATCATAATTGACAAAATTATTTTTATATTATAATTTTACATATGTTTATATACTTTTACATATTTCTAGCTTTTATTAAATTATTATTGTGTACTTCTTTTTCTACATTGTCCATAATTATAGTACTGTTAGATCCGTTTTGTGATATAATTTTAAAAGGACCTTTAAAAGGTTTATCTAATTTTTTCTTATTTCCTACTTTTAAATATACGTAGTCTCCTGTTTTAAATTTTGGTTTGTTAATATATTTTTGTGTATTGGAATTATGTTGTTTATTTTTTAACAAATTTTCTTGTGCTTGATTATGTGCATATCTTAGTTTAATTTTGAATTGTCTAATTTGAATTGTCTAATTGTCTAATTGTCTAAATTGTTGAATGATTCTTTGCTTTTAATAATTTCACAAGGTAAAGAGCATAATTTACCATATACTAATTCAAATGGTGTATAGTGAGTCGTGCTATGTGGAGTGGTGTTGTACGAGTATGTGTAGTATGGTAATAGTTCATCCCAGTTATCCTTCCCGTCCATTGTCATTAAGAAGTCATTTAAAACTCTATGGTTTCTTTCAACTGTACCTAAAGTTTCATGATGGTATGGTGTTGATGATATTTTGTCTATTATTTGTTCATTAGTTTACAGATATTTGTCAATAATTCGTTCGTATAATCAGTACCTTTGTCTGTTTTTAACTTCCTAAAACAACCATATTTTAAAATAAACTTTTCTACTGTTGTTTTTGCTACACTCACTGCGTCTTTTGTTATCAAAGGAAACGCTTCTACAAATTTTGTAAGTTCGCATTGAATTGTTAGTATATATCTGTATGTATTGGATGGTCTAAGAGGACCAACTGTATCTATTGTTACAACATCAAATGATGTATTTGGTGTCTCTGTTATTGTCAACTTTTCTTTTGTATATTTAATAATTTTTACTTCGTTACAGATTTTACATTTGTTAATATGGTCTTTAACCATTTTATTCATGCCTTTCCACACATATTTTTGTTTGAGTTTTCCTATGCATCGTCTTATGCCGCAATGGCCTGCTGTTTTTGAGTCATGGTATCCTTCTATTAATTCTTTCATTTCTTGTTCATTTTCTATTCTTTTCGGAGGAGTATATAATAGTATGTCTAGACAATCTTCGATTTCATTTTCTTGTGTTTCATTAAAAATTTCTTTAAATCTATGAATAGATATCTTTTTAAATATTTCATCATCATTCGCTAGCGCTAGTTTACTAATGTGTTCATGCTTTGCGTGAGATAACAATTTTTTCAAAATCAATTGTAACTCTGCTAATGTCTTATGATTGTATCTAACATGTAACTCATTTTTAAATTCATTAAACTCAATTTTTTGGCCAGTTTTAGTTTTATCTTTATTCTCAAATTTTAACTTTTTTACTCCTCTAATATCAGATATTGAAATACACTCCCATATATGAAGATGATCAGTCTCCAATGGTAAAGTGTCCGCGGGTGTTTCTTCTTCTTTATTATCTGTAAATTTATTTTTCTTTCCTCGTGTTAACGCATTAATATTATTTGTTGGTACCATGTCTTTTAATTTCTCTGAGTTTAAAACTATTCTTGACAACGCATCGGCGTTGGTATTCATTTTACCTTGCTTAAATATAATGTCAAAATCATAATCCATTAAATCTATTCTTATCCTAGTTAATTTAGATGATGGGTTCTTATGGGTAAATAAACTAACTAATGGTCTGTGATCTGTATACACTATAAATCTTTTACCATACAAATATGGTCTGAAATGATTTATTCCCCAATGAATGGCTAGCAACTCTTTTTCTATTATCGCTTTGTTTATTTCATATTTATTTAATGATTTACTAGCAAATGCTATGGGTTTATCACTACCGATTTCTCCTTGAGAAAGTACAGCTCCCAGTGCATAATTTGAAGCGTCTGTTGTCAAAACAAAAGGTTTTGAAAAATCTGGGTAACTTAGTACTGGTGGCGACATAAGTTTTTCTTTCAAAAGTTCAAATGAACTCTGACAATTTTGTGAACAATCAAAAATCACATTTTTCTTTAATAATTGATTTAATGGTTTTGCTATGTCAGCAAAGTTCTGAATAAAACGTCTGTAGTAGTTACAAAAAGCTACAAATCTGCGTACTTCGTCAGAATCTGTTGGTGTTGGGTAATCTTTTATTACTGAATATTTGCTAGGGTCAGTAGTCACACCTTTATCTGTGNAAAAATCACATTTTTCTTTAATAATTGATTTAATGGTTTTGCTATGTCAGCAAAGTTCTGAATAAAACGTCTGTAGTAGTTACAAAAAGCTACAATTCTGCGTACTTCGTCAGAATATGTTGGTGTTGGGTATTCTTTTATTACTGAATATTTGCTAGGGTCAGTAGTCACACCTTTATCTGTGATTAAATGTCCAAGGTAAACTACCTCAGGTCTCAAGAAATTGCATTTTCTTGGATTCACTTTTAAATTATATTTACGTAACCTTTTAAAAACTTCTACAAGATTCCTATTGTGTTCTTTTAAACTAGCTCCAAAAACTATTATATCATCAACGTATAAAAATGCTGATGCTTGTAAACAACTAAGTGCAATTGAAAGCATTCTTTGAAAGCTATTTCTTGAGATTTTCAAACCGAAAGGCAAACGTTTAAATTGGAAATGTCCTGAATCTGTTGAGAAGGCTGTTAATGGTCTCGATTTTGGATGTAGTGGAATTTGATGAAA